GTTTCCAATTTAAATGAGAGATATATATAAAAGAAATTTATTCTCACCACTGAACTATTGAAATAAATTTTCTAGCATTTATTAATATATATGCTAGAAAATATTTCAATAGTTAATTGAGTAATCTCTTCAAATGATTTTTTAATATAAAGAAAGATAGTACAAATGTGTTAAAGAATACATTGATAACACTACCTGTAAATTCGAAAGATGTAATAAAGTACCAAATGGAAGTGATTGATTTGTACGATTAAGAGATGGATCTCATGAAATTAAATTTGAAAAAATTACTTGTGAAAAAGATGAAAATAGAAAGACCAAGCCAACTTCAAATATACTTATCAAAAATAGATACGGTGAAAGAAGTCAATAATGTAACATTTTTTTTAAGTGAAAAAAAAAAAATAAATTAATGAAGAAAATTAAAAAAAAATAATAATAAATTAATGAAGGAAATCTACTAGTTTAAAAATAAAAATGTTACTATATCACTGATACATTAATCGACAATCACCTCAAATATATACAATTCCTCCACAAAGTACTTCTATAATGAATAATTTGCCAAAACGGCTAAAGTGACTGTCAGGGAACTATAATCCATTTCTCAGTGAGATGACTATGTCAATGTGAAATATTCTATAATGTATAAAAAATTAATACATCATCACCCTATTATTGTATAACTTTGTACAACTTACGGTACAACTATTGAATATTCTATAGGATATTCAAAATGACATAATTTATTTCAAAATATACTAGTGTTATATTATTATATCTTATATGTTTGAATTGTATTTTTTTTTATAATATTATTATATTATATACAAAGTAATCATTATAGTATAACAATATTTGAATATATAGATATAGTTTAACATATAATGGTAGTTTTTTAAGCTTATATATATAACTATATTTATATATTACAAGTTAAAGGCAAAAAAAAAATTTTTTTAATATCTGTTATTTGGTGTTACATATTCCATTAACAAATAAATATCCATTTTTATTAATATAATATTTTTTTTTAAAATATTATATTAATAAAAATGGATATTTATTTTAACTATTTTAAAATTTTCTAATTTTTCCTATGCTTAAAGCTTTTATTACTTTATAGTAATAATAAATTTTTTAAATTAAAAGTATTTAAATTTTATTAAAAAAAAAAAAAATTACATAATTAAAATTAATATAACAATAGTGAATCAAACATAATTAATCATTGCCAATAGAAATAAGATAATAAACAAATTGAGTCATTATTAATTAACCATTCCAAAAGAATTTTTTTTTTAAAAAAATTTTTAATACATTAAAAATTTTAATACATTTATTTTAATAAAAATAATTATACAATATTTGATAAAAGCTGTTAAAAATCATTAATTCTTCATTTATATGTAACTTTAATTTGATATTGTTTTGATATTTTAATATTTTATCAGAAAATTAAATTATCTTCAAGAAAACAGTTTATTATAAATATTCTATTTTTTGTTTGAAAAGAAGTAAATATAGTATATAAAATTAGTTTTAATTTATTATTATTATTATTATTATTATTTTAATAAAATATACACTCTTTTGTTAATAAGTTCCTAATAAATATATATATAAATCATTAAAAAAAAAAAGTTAATTATTGAAAATGAGGATATGTGTGAAAAATTTTAAAGGTTTATTTTATCAAAAATATTTTTGTAGATAAATTGAATGTCATAAATGATTTTAATGTATTAATTGATAAAAATTCTAATAAATATGTATGCATTACAAAACCAAGAAGATTTGGTAAAACCTCAATAGTAGCAAAGTTAGTAATGTATTATAGTGAAAATATTGATTCCGAAAAAATATTTGATAAATTAAAAGTATTCAAAGGATGAATTACCGATAATGAAGAGAAAAAAAATTAAACAATATTTCAAGGAAAATATCACACCGTATATTCAGATTAATAAAGTCATGTTAGTTCTTTCGAAACTTTAAAGGCATTTAAATCTGAAATTAATACGAAAATAAAATTAGATCTTGAAGAACTTTATCCTAAATCTAAAAATTTTTAATAAATATGATGAAGATTTAAGTGTAAATTTAAATAAATTATATTCAGAAACAGATAAAAAGTTTGTTCTTGTTATTAATAAATGGGACTACATAATCATCAGTAAAATGTTTACACATAAAGAACGCAACAATTATCTATGTTTTTTTAAAAAAGGATTTAATTAAAGATTGTTCCTAGTTAGCCTTTGCTTATAAGACGGGAATAATACCAATTGCAGTGAATTTTTTCGTCTCCAATAGATTGTTTTATGTGAATATACTATGTTAGATGATGAAAAATAATATCAATATTTTGGATTTTTACTGAACAAAAAAATCGAGATCTTATGTAGTAATAATAAAAAATTAACCTTTGAAGATTTAGAAAAAACATTATAATGGATATAAAACTTATTATAATGAAAAAAAAATTTTTTTTAATCCCTGGTCAATTGTAAATGCATTAAATTCGAATAACATTAAAAATTATTGGACACAATCAGGACATTACGAAGAAGTGAAAAAGAATAATTAATTACGATATTGTTTTACGATATTGTTGGTGTAAAAGAAGATATTTTAGAATTAATTAATGATAATAAAATTGAAATTCAATTAGAAAATTATAGAGTGCATAATATCCAAAATGAATTAGAAAATCATTAATATTTGAAGGATGAATTATATTTAAAAAATGGTTACTTTTGGATATTTAACATACTGTGATGGAATAATATCCATTCCAAAAAAAGAATTGGAGGGAAATTTTATAGACTTTTTTTAAAAAAAAAAAAAAAAAGAAATGATACTGAAATTTTTTTATTATATGATAAAGAATTCCAATGAAATGTTGGAAGTGACATTAAATAAAAAATGTCAAAAAGAATATGTGAAACTTTAAACAAAATCACACCTGGAAAATAATAAGTTCAGAGGATAAAATTAATCATTCAAATTTAAAAGTATTATATATTATGCATATTTTCATGCTCGAACGAATTATAATATTGTTGAAGAAGATCTTAAAGGTAATGAAAAAGTAAATTTTATTTTTTATCCTAAAGAAGAAAATAAAATATATGGAGAAATTATAATAATGGAATTAAAAGTGAATGATACAGCAGATCAAGCTCATGAATAAATACAGCAAAAGGAAATATTATTTTGGTTTAAAAGAAAAAGGATAGAGTGGAAATTTTTTTTTTAATCGGAATAAATTTCAACCAGAAAAGCGAAAAATATAGTTGTATAATAAAAGAATACGTACCATAATTCAACTATATCATCATCATCTCATCCAATACAAATTAATTTTTCTTCTTTACTTTTATAGCATTCAATTAAAGCCTTGATTTCATCAGTTCTATTAATGGTTTTTATTTTTTTTTAAAAAAACCTCTAATTCTCTTATCGTAATCATTATAAGATAAGGTTTCTACCTTCTTTAATGCTATTATTTATTTATAAAAAGTAGTTTTTTTTTGGGAAAAGATTATTTAAATAATTATTAAAATGATTCTAATGCATTATTTGTAATATATTCTATATTATTATAATAATTCTAGTTATTTGCATTACATTTATTTAAATAGTTAATTTTAAAATATTCTAAAAATTCTAAATTATTATTATATTCATTTTTTTTGCATGTATTTTTTATTTATGAGTAAATGCGTTGTTTATAAATAGGGTTAATAAATGGAAATTTTGGAATAGCTTTATAATAAGTATATAAATTATTATTATCAATTTCACTAGAACATAATTTGTTTTTTTTTTTTTTTTTTTTTTTTTTTGAATTTCTAATGATCTTTTAAAGTGCTAAACACAATATTTGATATTTATATAAGGAAAAAAATTTTTTGCTATATTTGATATGCCTTTTTCAAAGTCACAATGAAAATTAATTGGAGAAATAACAATACTCTTACTAAAATTTACTCCCATTTTTTTTTTTATTATTTTTTTAAATAATGTTTCGTAAGTAGATTGTTTTTTATCTTTTAATATTGAAATGGAAGTAGTGTAAAAACTATTTATTTTTTCAACATATGTTCTTGTAATGAACACCTGATAACTAAATTTTGGCGCAATATAAAATGTACCATCCTCAAATATATTATCATTATATTGTATGAATAGTTTTGCTTGGAATAGGGATTGTAAAATTATTAAATTAGAATTTTTGATATATCATAAAATTATCACCATTTTCTGTTTTATAATATTCTGATTCCCCTGGAATTTCTTCAAAAGTTGTTATGTCAGGAAGTAATTGCTTATTTCGACTTCTTATTATTTGGGTTCTAATGGAGTTAAATTCAAGACATATTAATCTCATGTCCTGAGAAATTTCATTAAATATATGCTTTGTTCTAATAACCAAAAAAAAAAATTTTTTTTATTGTTTCTTTAATTTTATGTTTTACTATTGATTTAGATGCTTCGTATTCTTTTTCAAGATGATTATGTAAACTTTCATATTCTAAAATTTTCATCTTATTATTTAAAATAAAAAAATTTTACATTTATTTAAAGTTTTACATTCAGTGCATCTATATACCTTTGAATTATCTTTCTTTTCATTTGAAAAATTAAGTTTTTATATTTTCTGTTAATAATAATTTGCTTTTTTCCATGATTTCTTTCACTTATATCAATTCTAATATTTTCCTTCATTTCCAATAAAAAATTTTTAATCTTAAATAAATTTATTATATAGATTTTAATATTATCTATAAAATGATTTTATTTTTTATATTTAAAAAAATAAATTTATAATCATATATTTATATTTTTTTTTAAATCAATTTTAAGTATTTTTAAATATATTTATAAAATAACGAAAAATAAATAAATAAATAAATAAATAAATAAATTATTAAAAAAATTATTTTTTCTTTAAGCAATTTTATCATCCAATTACATAAAAAAAAAAATAAAAACTCCGCATAGGGGAATCGAACCCCTGCCGCCACGGTGAGAGCGTGGAATCCTAGCCACTGGACCAATGCGGATACATGCCTGTTTTATTGATATGGAACTAACTAATAATTCGTATTATAATATTGGAAATTATAATTAAGTTTAATAACTTTATGTATTAAATATTTTAAACTATTTTTATAATTCCAAAATTTTATTCTTAATTTAAAATAATTATATAAATTATCAAATTAAATTGATTAATGACTAATTATTAAAAAATCATTATTTAATTAAATTGATTAATGACTAATTATTAAATAATTATTATCTTATATTAATTAAATTGTTTTATTATTATATTTAATTATTATTAATATTAAATTGTTTCAAGAATTATATTATCAAAAATATTACCAATAATTTTATTGTTAAATTTTTTAATTTTATCATTAATAATACTTGTCATTAAAGATAATATTAATTATATTAGTATTAATATTTTTATTATTAAAATAACTCTTAAAAAATATTATTTAAAATCACATGTAATAATTATACTAATAAGAATTAAAATAATTTATTATAAAAATTCATGTAGTAAAAAAGTATAAAAGAAAAAGAAAATACTTAATAAAAAAGGAGGAGTTAAAAAAATAAAAAAAACTGGAAATTGAAATTAAATTATTAACTAATATATTATTTTCATTTTTTTTTTGAAATTTATTGTGTACCTGCACCAAATTGGCGAGCTATGCAGGACACAAAGAAAATAATATGAAAAATTAATAATTTAAATAAATATTAAGAAATTTTAATTATAAAAAGAAAAAATTTAATTCTATATTAAAAATAATATAATAAATTAAATTAAATTGCCAAGAATGAAAATCTTAGAACTTGAGGAACTACTACCTATGCTTGATGAAGATGCTAGAGACGTTGATATCTGGGCCGAAGAATTCACAAGATTAATGAAATTAGCTGGTATTAACAATCCAGCTAGCATTCATACCTGGGCGACTGAATGTGTTGAGGGCAAACTCAGGGGAGTCTTACAAGATCTGGTGAAAGTCAATGAAGATGAAGAAGAAGAATTTCCTTCTATGAAAAAAATAAAAGAAGCCTTAGAAGAAGCCTTAGAAATCACTCCACAGGATAAATGTAAAAGATTACAAAGATTAAAAATAAAAAGAGGAGAAAGTATTAAAAATTTTAATTGGCGATATAAAAAACTTTACAATAATTTACCAAGACTTTATCAATCTTTCATAACAGTGGAGGATTATACTGAATCCATTTCATACCGACCTTTTGCTAGGAAAGAAACAAATGAAACTGTAATGTCTACTTTATATACTCGGGGGGTTTATTCAAACTTTTCTCAATCAAATAGAACTGGGAAACATCCTTTTAGACAATTTTCTGCCAATAATTATATAGAAGTTAACAACCCCAAAAGAAATATGAGAAGTCGCACTAATGATAAACTCTTAAATAAGAATCCAAAATACGAGACTAACAATACATATAAAAGAACATATAAGTGTTTCAGATGTAACCAGGAAGGTCATGGTGTCAAGCAATGCCCTTATTCATTTAAGGAATTAGCTGAGTTAGAGGAAAAAGGTCAGATTTCAAAGGAATCTTTAAACTCCCAAATGGAAGAAGGAAAACTTCCCTTATAAAAACCATAAATGATACTGAAACTGATGATATCGTAGCAGCTGTCACTAGGCAAACAAGACAATTAAATACAAAAAAGAAACCTTACGATAAACATCAGAAAATAGCCACATTAAAAGAAAATCCTCAACCAATAAAAATGCTTTCGAAATCACAAACAAATGATCGAAAAATGGAAGTAGAAGTAGAAAATATTAATAATGAACCAAAAAGTAACAATGAAGAAGAACCCTTAAATAACCCAAAAAATAGAGAAGAAACGGAAACCTTAAAAGAAATTGACTTGTCTGTGATAGCCAACCCATCAATAAACAAAGCAAAAAGGGATTCAAAGAAGGAAAGAATATCAGAAATAATGGATAAGAAACCTGAAGAAGAAGAAATGAGAAAAAAGGTTAAAGCTAAACTACCCAGTACTCAAATGGAAGAAAAGAAGAATAAATGCGAAAGATTAAAAAATGATAAAAATAAAGAAGAAATGAGAATCGAAAATAAAAATGAAGAGAATCCAAATAACAAAAAGGAGAAACACATTATTATAATGGAAAACCAAGCAAAGTACGATCTTGTAACTGATTTAACATCTACCACAGCTAATATAACTCTGGCTCAATTGTTGGAAATAAGTCCAAAATTACGAGCTAAACTTAATAAATTGTTAAAGCTAAAAGAAACACCTCATAACGGAAAAATGGAAGAAATGGTATTATCTACTGTCTCAAGGAAGGATATAGCTACTACTAAATGTAAAATTAACGGAGAAGATGGATTCGCCTTTTTAGATACATGTGCAAGCATCAACATAATAACGAGTAAGTTTTTAGGCAAGTTGAAAAATATAAAACCATTTGGTTATACAACTAACAATATTATACAGGTAACTTCGAAGACCCACATATCCTCTGAATTATATCATTTAACAGTTGAATTCAACGATTTCATTATTCAAGACGTATTTAGAGTAATAGAACATGATCAGGATCTGTTTGATATCTTGATAGGTTTTAGGACCTTAAAGGATAATAATTTATTCATTAATCCTATTCGTAATAGTCTATGTAAAATGAAGAAAGATGGTACATTTACAACAATCTCAGCTTTAGAAATAGATGAAGAAGAAAAAGAAATAGATGAAGAAGAAAAAGAAATAGATGAAGAAGAAAAAGAAATAGATGAAGAAGTAAAAATTGAAGAAACTGAAATGCAAGATAATCCAGACTCCATGTTATTTTGTTTCATAAACAAAGAATCAGCAGAAATACAGAATGCAATTACGATTAAGGAAAATAAAAAAAACAAAGAAGAAAATACAATCATTGAAGAAAAGAAGACAAGAATTGAACAAATTATAAAAAATACAATAGAAGTAGTTAGAGGCCGATTCAAGGAACTATTAAAAGATAATATTGAAATCTTAGCAATAAAAATAGATGAATTAGGTTCAACAAAGTTATTACCGCACCATATCAGTTTAGAAGAAAATACGATTCCAATCAAACAAAAAGCTTATCGATTATCTAAAGTACAAGCAGACGCCCTGAAGGAAGAACTAATTAAATTACTGAACAACCATTTAATTGAACCATCCAGTTCACCATGGTCTTCTCCAGTTATTCTTGTAAGGAAGAAGAATAATAAATGGAGAATGTGTATAGATTTTCGGAAGCTCAACAACGTTACTATTAAAGACGCTTATTCTCTGCCACTAATAGATGATATACTTTTCTCAATCGGAAAGAAAGTTAAAGTATTTTCAACAATAGATTTATTCTCCGGCTTTTATCAAATTCCAATGTTCCATGAAGACATTCCCAAAACAAGTTTTACAACAATGTACGGTAATTACCAATTCCGGGTAATGCCGTTTGGTTTATGCAATGCCCCAGGAACCTTCCAGAGAGAGATGAACAGGATATTTTTTCCGCTCATTGGGAAGTGTATGTTTATATATATCGATGATTTAATCATATTCTCTCCAACTTTTGAACAACACATAGAAGATTTAAAGAAAGTATTTGATATCCTAAAGGATAATGGATTAAAAATCAATCTCGACAAATGTGATTTTTTCAAGGAATCAGTTGAATTATTAGGCCACACAGTATCAATTGAAGGAATATCACCAATTAATAAAAAAATTGAGATTATACGTGAATGGTTACCTCCTACCAACATCACGCAATTACAATCATTTCTTGGAGCAGTAGGTTATTATAGGAAGTTTATATACAACTTTGCAACAATTGCCAAACCTCTATTTAAACTACTTAAAAAGAATGTAAAATTTTCTTGGGAAGCTGTTCAACAAGAGAGCTTTGAAGAACTTAAACGAAGATTAATCACAGCCCCTATTTTATCAATGCCTGATTTCGACAAACAATTTATAATCAGGACAGATGCCTCAAAAGATGGAATAGGTGGAGTCCTGATACAAAAAGATGAAAATAATATCGAAAAACCAATACATTATATGAGCAGAACTTTGAAACCAGCTGAAGTAAACTATGGGATTACAGATTTAGAAGGAGCTGCCGCCGCTTTTTGTGTTAAAAAATTTAAATCCTATATTTCGGGAAGTAAATTCGAAATATTGTTGTTCACAGATCACAAACCATTAATAAGTATATTCAAAAGTAAAGAAACCTTAAATGCCAGACAGTCAAGATGGGTAATTATGTTCTCTATGTTAAAAGTTAAAGTCATTTACGAACCAGGAAAACGTAATGTATTAGCGGATGCGTTATCTCGACTTAGATCAAAACCATCGGAAGTAATAGCTACCTATTTAGAAGAAATTAATACAGGAAAAAATTTGTTATTAAAGAAGTTTGAAGAAAAATTTTCAAGAATAAACAATGAAGAATATTTTATAGATGGAGGCACATTCAGAAAAGTAATTAAAGAAGATAAAGAAAAAATTAAACTATTATTAGAAGCCCATAGGATAGGCCATGAGGGAATCTTCAAAACGTATAACAGGCTCAAACGTGATTACTATTGGAATAACATGGTCTTGGATGTAAAATACATAGTCAATACGTGTAAACACTGCCAACTGTTCAAACCACAAACTTTCAATTCAAACACCGAACACATCCCAACAAAGCCGGGATTACCTTTTACCCAGGTAGGACTGGATATAGTAGGCCCTTTACCACAAACAAAAAATGGAAATCAGTATATCCTAGTATTAGTCGATTATTTAACAAAGTGGGTTGAAGCTGAACCCACTGTCAAGATTGAATCTGATGATATAATAGTCTTCTTAACAAGAGTTTTCTCAAGACATGGAGTTCCCGAAATATTAATAACGGATAACGGTCCCCAGTTCAAGTCCGACAAAACTAAAGCTTTCCTAGATTTATATGGTATTTATGTGCACTTTGTTTCTGTCTATCATCCTGAA